GCTCGCCGTGTGGGAGGCACGAGGAGAAGGCAGCAGGAGCCCCGCAGGCGTTTCCTTCCCACCTCTGCTATTTCTTATTCCTTTCTCCTAAAAGGAAGAAAAAGAAAAAGAGCAAGGACTGCATTGAGTTGCGAGGACGGCCGGGACTGTCGCAGGTCTGCGTGCGGCGGGGGTGCGGTGAGGAACCGATGTGTCCGTGAAGAGTTAAGAAGGAGGAGAGTCCCAGCCCTGCTTCCCGGGAGGAGGAAACCCGCCGCCCGCCAGGCCAGCACGGAGCTGCCCGCTGCATCCTTCCTTTTGGTGCCCGCAGTCTTACTCGCCGCCTCCTCGCTTCCAGAGAAGCTGAATTCTCCTGGAAGCACGGCAAGGAAGGAAGGAAGGATTTGCCACAAAGAATATATCACCCTCCTCCCCAGCGGCTGGATACTGCATTTTAATTTTTTCTTTCCCCAGTCACTCTTCTGTGTTTAAATACCAAATATAGCCTCTTGGGGGGGAGGGGATGGAAATCTCTTAGAAGAATTTGAAATCTTGCTGGGATTCGAGGGTGCTGGTGTTGCACGGCCCAGGAGATAGGACCGCGGGGCGGGGGAGAGAAGGGAGATGTGAGGCTCTGACTGACTGACGAAGGACTGGAGATCTGCCGCTTCTCGGGGAGCCCGAAGGTTGGTTTATTATGAGACTGTTGGTTTTCCCTTTCTGCTCTTCTGGTTTACGCTAAAGCCCTCAGCATTATTAAGGAAAACTGAAGTGTTGCCCAGGCGTAGCTGGTGGCTTTCTGGTTTTTAAGGTAGTTTTCATCAAGAAACTGACAAAAACTTCCTCCCTTCACCCGGAGGCTTTTGAGGTTTGAAACTGAGATGAAGCTACTTTTCTCCCGAACACTAAACGTTGTATAAGGGGAGCCAGGACGAAAACGTAGTGTTTACTGACTTCGATACGACTTCCCGACGCTCGGCACTTACGGGGGATGCTTCACGGAGCTTGGTGTGGAAAAGAGTTGGAGTGTGCTCGGAGACCTCGTCGCGTCCAGCAGCTTAATTGTTGATTTTTTATTTTTTTTAGGTGGTTTCGTAAAATACTTCTATGAATTAATTTTTTGCCACTGCTCGCACAGAAGCCAAATGACACGTGTGTTTTGAAACACAGTTCCAAATATATCCATCCCGCAACCCGGATTCTCGCCAGAAAGACGGAGGGAGATCTTCAGTGTCTAAACAAATCTGATTTTACAGTTTTATGAACGTTATCTGCTGTTATATTTTAGCAACATTATGTTGCTATAGATTGCTTTGT